TGTCATGTACTGTGGTATTATGAAGAACAGTGTAATTAAAATAGGGTGATTTTTTCGATGCCTTAGAAAACTAAAGTTATTCTTTTCTTAATGTCAGAGAAAATTCCTTAGTGTTTTTTTTTTTTTTTTTTTTTTGTTATTGTTGCAAACAACACAAAAACTTAAATACAAAAGCAGTATATTTTTCTCAAATTACATAATGAGAAATCACAGAATTAGAGAATGGTTTGGGTTTGAAGGGATTTTAAAGACCACCCAATTTCAACCCTCTGCCATGGGCAGGGTATCGCCTACCCTGAACACTTCCACAAATGGGGAATCTGCAACTTCTCTGAGCAGCTTTTTCTAATGCTTCACCACTCATCATGGAGAATTTCTTCCTTATATTTTACCTGAATGTACCAGTATTTAGTATAAGACCATTACTCCTTGTCCTATTACTATGCTCCCTGATGAAAAATCCTCCCATCTTACTGGTAGGCCCATTTTAAGTACTGAAAGACTGCACTAAGGTCTCTCTGGTGCCTTCTCTAGGCTTTCTCAGCCATTTTTTTTCCCAGCAGAGATGCTCTAGCCCTCTGATCTGATCATTCTCATGCCCCTCCTCTACACCTACTCTAAGAGATCCACGTCTTATGCTGCACGCTCCAGACCTGAGTGCAGTTCTCCAGGTAGGGTCTCATGAGAACGGAGGGAAATAATCCCCTCTCTTGCTTTGTTAGCTACACCTCTTTTGGTGTAACTCAGGATTTGATTAGCTTTCTGGGCTGCAAATGCACGTAATTGGCAGAATTATTCTCTATCTATTCCTTATCCAGCTTGAAATCATATTTGGGATTGTCCTGAACCGGGTGTAGGACCTTGAACTTGCCTTGTTGAAATACAGGTTTTCATGGAGGCCCACCTCTTTTATGCTATATACCATTCTTATGTTAAAATATTTTAAGACAACATGAAATTACTTCCTGTCTATGATACTGTCAGCTGTTTTGATTAAAACAGCTGTTGTAGCTTTTAGATGGAAATCAAAAACATAAGCTGTGTTTGTCACACTGTTGTTGTTTTGTTGTGAGTGTGGAACTACAGAGCAAAGTTTAGTCATCTGCCTTGTCAGCTTGGATCATTTATGAGATCTTATCTCCTAATTCTCAGAGAATGTCTGTGCAGGCACATTTCTTTCTTGCCTAAAGCTTGAGGGATTTGAGGAAGGTGAGGTGCAGGGGAGGTCCTGGGTGACAGACACAGAACTGGGATGGCCCCATGTGCTGAGGTGCTCATCTGGAGGCTTTGAGCTTCCTGAGAAGCAAAGTAACGAGCACTACATGTATTTTATGCAGAGAAGGATTATGGAATATCTGTACAAAATATATAGCTTGAATTCAGCATCACAGCATGCTTCTTGAATCCCTGGAGCCATAAGAATCTACTTGAAAATGATTTAATTTGCCTAAATTACCTTTCTAGTTGAATGCCTGCAGCCAGGAACTGTTGCCGTTGTAAAGAAGCCTTATTATTATGTCAACTTGTGTTGACACTGGAACCTATTAGGCCTTCCTTTTAAAAGGATTTATTTTATGTCCATGAAGTGCATAGTTTGAACTAGTGGATTGTGGCTTTCCAATGCTCATGGGCAATAAATCTGAAAATAGGAAAAGACCAGAAGTTTGTTATTAACGATCTAAAGTCAGCAGGGTAGGAAAACTGAAGCAAATTCCTCAGGCATGTCATGAGTTATTGGCTAAGGTAGAACAAAGAAGGTTTTATCATGAGTACTCTTCAGAGCTTGGTTGTTTACAATTAGTTATTTCTGAAAGCCGTCTTTACGGGGGATTATAAATATAAATATAAATATGTATTCCAAGTTCCCATCTGCTATTCAAAGTATTGATTTATTGTTCTCCGAGTCAGTTTTTACTACATGTTCTGATGATTAAACAGCGTGGTTTTTCTGAGGTACATATAAAAAATAAAGAAAATATCTTTTATACTAATTTTTCTAATGACATTTTCCTAGTATAGAGCTAGGATGCGCAGAGTAATTTGTTTGGAAATCTTACTGACTAGCAGACAAGCAGGTATGCTTAATAGCAATTAAAATGTTTGAATTGATGATGGCAGTTCATGTAAGAGCCATACTGAATTTCACCAAAACTTAGAGAGTATTTCCACATTGCCATAGAATCCTACAATCCTTCAAGTTGAAAGGGACTATTAAAGGTTGCCTATAGTCCAACTCCCCTGTAGTGAACAGGGAAATCCACAGTTAGACCAAGTTGCTCAGAGCCTGCTCCAAGCTGGCTTTGAAAGTCCCAAGGACCACATCTCTGGGTAGTCTGTCCCAGTGCTTTACCACTCTCACTGTAGAAGACTTTTTCCTTATATCCAACCGAAATCTTCCTTCTTTAGATCTGAGACAATTTCCTTACCTGTATTTCAGTTCTTCTGAAGTTTCTACAGCTGTCAAGATTCTGTATGGTTTTCCATTTCATATTACAGGCAGCCATTATAAATTGAGTGTTATTTGCTTTTTAACTTTTTTTTTTTGGGTCCTACGAAATGGCTTGATTTTCTACTTTACTAATGAACTGTGGGCTTCCTTTTATAACTCGGTGAAGAAATAGCTATGCATGGTGATTTCTCCATAGACAAAGTGGAAGCTATAAATATGCAAATATCAGTTTTGGCTTTACAAAGTTTAATTGCTTTGCATATTATGCAAATTCCTAGGATGAAAAATTGACTTGTGCAGTAGCACAGTTGTATATTCTCTATCTTAAAAAATGCAGGCATATTGCTGAAAAATGTGCTGATATTTTGTCTGCAAGTTTACATCTTATTGATGTTATTGGAGTGTGTATAGGATACATGACCAAGGCTCTTCAAACGTTATGTTCCCAAACTGCATTTCACGGAGTCTAAGAAAATCACTTGGAGTACTTGCTACCATACCTATGCGTGCTGAGATCACAGGAAGCAGAACTGGAAGGACCTCTGAAGATCATCTAGTGTCTCTCTACCCTACAGTAGGATCAGCTTGTTCTGAACATTTCCAGACTCTCATAGATTAAGAGCTTGAGGCTAGGAATTGAGAAGTTCTTGTGCTCTTTGATGCTGTAAATTATTTTTCTTCTATTAGTTAGTTAAAGAACAGAGTTATAATCTAGACTATTTCATTGCAATTCCTGATTATTCTTTTTTCTAAAAATATCTGTTCTAATGGTATCTTTAAGAGTTCTGGACCCCTGAACTCAGCAGCCATATGCTATGTTACAGACATTAGGCAGGCACTGGAATGCCTCACAAAATTGAGAACCATTTCAATGCAATACTGCAAACAGTGTCTCTGCTCAGCTGGTAATTCTGTGAGGTTGCAAGAAGAGCTAACCTCTGAACACTGTGTTGGAAATGGAGGTTGTTATGTTTTAGCTGTTTTGGAAAGAAAGTTTTAGATGTTAATAACGAAGAGTCTACCAGTGTCCTAGTTTTACAGATCAGCGTATTCACAGATGAACTGCTTTGATCTGGCCATTTGCCTTGAAGTCTCTCTTCAGTGAAGGTAAATCAGAAAAGGAAATCAAAGGTATTGATTTTTCAAGATTCAAAGTAGACAACACAGATGCAGAATTGCATGAAGAAAGTTGGAAAGAAAGGAAATTAAAATTATTCATATATTCCTTAGAATAGTTGAAAATCTTTTGCAGTTCTTTAGATCTTCTTCACAGGATGTTGAAATATTCAGAATCCTGTGGCTGAGGATCCATTTCTGCAGGCATCCAGCCCTTGGTATAAGCCTAAAAGAGGATCTTGACTTGTTCTTAGGACAGTTAGCCTATTGACGCTGAGATAACAGGAGAAGGCAACAGGGAAACACAAGGGAAATACTTAAAAGGTATTTTAATTTGGGACAATGATTTGAGAACTCTAGTATTTGCTTTCATATCACAAACTTCTCTAGAGATTGCTCATGTGAATTAATTACACAATTGGAGCTGTTGCATGAGGCACACTATTTACTCCAGAGCCCAGTTGTACTTCTAAGCATTGACAACTCTTTTTCCTCTGCCCACTGTTCTCTGCAGAATGGCTTCAAGTACCTTTGTTTTAGGAGCAGCACAGGCTGCCTTGTGCCAGAACCTTGGTAGGAGGCGTGGGATTGATTCCCTACAGAAAAAGGCAGGATGCTTGCCAAGTCCTTAAAGCACTGAACCTTCTTGTCATCAGCATTGCTGTCACCAGTATCCCTATCTCTGGCAGCACTTCAGAAGAGCAAACTCTGCTTGGGTTTCTTTCTTGGGTGTCAGGTTGAATCCTTGGTGAACTGGGTTATTTTTCTACAAAGGAGAAAAACAGGACCTTTGAAGCACATCTGTATGTACCTACTAGGTATGCATGCTTCCTTACACAACTGCATGGGACTGGGACAGTGTCCTGAATTCCCTGTCATAAACAGTGATTTACAATTAAATCTAGACTGATCAACAACAATATTCACTTTCCTGACCGGTGCTTTAAGTTGTGAATTCCTGCTGACATAGTTGCTTTCCTTTCCCTGCCTCTGTAACTAGCTGAAGATTTTGAGAACAAGAAGACCGAAAGATAAACTTGTAAAATTTCCTGGAAGAAGAATTCCCCAAACTAATCCTCAGAGCACACCGAGTTTGTAAAATAGAAGGAAGCTTGTGTGGCTCATCTCCACAGCACTGTATCATCTACAGCTCTTTTTGGATCCAATTCTAATTCCTTAAGTATCTTATGTATATATAAATATAATGTATAAATTATGCAAACTGCTTTCTTTTCTATCTCATGTTATTTTCTGGTTTTTGAACTATTTACATATATTACCATATAACTTGATATGCTAGCACTTCAATATTTAAAAATAAAATATTTTTTTACGTATTAAAAATATATATAATTGACTGGAGATGAGTATTAATACCAAGGACGTATTATCGTGCTCTTCTAATCTCAAAATAACAAACTGTCTTGTTCACTAGGTGACAAGAGTGTACAAAGCTGCAGTACAACAGACTTTGGATATACTCTTTCTTCCTGAAGGAAAAGAATTTCTTACAAGCACAGATGCAGTAAGCCGAGACTCAGCTGATCGTACCATCATTGCATGGGACTTCCAAAGTGCTGCAAAAATTTCCAATCAGATTTTTCATGTAAGATTAACAACTTATTATTTTATGGGTCATTATATATTTTTTCATGGTTGTCAATCTTTTAGAACAAAAGCAAAACTTTCATTTTTTTCATATCATTGTATGAATCATAATTAGTTGCAGGGTGTTTATTTTCATACTTTAACAACATTTACTTAATCTTTAAAAACCACCTGGAAAACTGATAGATCTCCTTGTGTTAAAGTGTTTGTTTTCATTGCTAGTTCACTAACATCTAAGCCATGTTTAGGCAAAAACATTGCAGTGCTATTCTTGCTTACCAATGATTGTAGTTGCTGTAGCACCACGTTTCTTTTCTGACACTTCTCCTAGGATAGCAAAATGATACATTTTTAATTAGATGGAATAAAGAATATTGACAAATGAAATTTAATATTTGCATAATAACAGCGACCTGATACATGCATACTGATATGTTGTGTAACATAATCACAGAGGCAAAATTTACTTTTATCAATGCAGGTACACTATTTCAGTAATCTGTCCAAGCGAGATATTTAATGGACTAAATTGTCTAGAAGAGCTGACACCTTCAAAGGAGATTATCAAGGAAGCTAATAGATAATTCCAACTCCCTGGATCATTTCTGAAAACTCAAGTCTAATATCTTATGTAATATAATATGATCGGATTGTATACAGATGCCTTTTGGCTGGAATGAACAGTTCTCTACTGACAAAGACGTGTAGCAGGTGATCAAATGGGACCGTTTCATGTTTAATTTCCACAGTTGCACAGTTGTGTCTTTGTCTGCTATTAAATATTTCATCATCCTGAATCGGCAATTAAAAAAAAACACAAACAAAAAACACTAAATAATGTGCAGAGCACTCAGGTTTGGAATCAGAGGAGGCTGTCTTTCGTAACAACCTCCCTATTCACTACCAAAGAAACAAATAGCAAATACACACAGCCCACCATCTGTGAACTGGACAGTTTTTTTCCCCTCTTCTACACTGTTTGACCCCTTCCAGGTAGACTCAGTTTCCCCCACAAAGCATGCAGTTCTTTGTCAACCAGGTACAACACCTAATGCTGTTTGATTGCTGTGCCCAATTCCTGGCAATATCCAGAACTGTCCTCCCAGTTCATCTCTTCCAAACCCCATAACAAGATCATTCATGCTTTTCCCACCCTACCATGTGGGAAGAGGTATGTATGAGGGGGATTTGCTTCCACGTTTGAACTTCAGTTATCCTTGAGCTGAAAGAAGGTGTCTCAGTAACTTTGTGTACTATCCTTCGGAGGTTCTGCCGTTTAATTATGCTACTGCAAAGGAAGGTGGGATTTTGATCATTTTCTAGGAAATTGGGGTAGATATTTGATTTAATATTTGACTTTGTATAAGACTTTCTGTGGATTGTGATAAGTTTCTTTATGGAGATGACTTTATGGCCTTTCAAATTTGTCGAAAAAAATAACCTAGTTCATTTGAACAAATGCCTTATTTCATGCACTTAATAATTATTTTCAGGAGCGTTACACTTGTCCAAGTCTGGCTCTGCACCCAAGAGAGTCTACATTTGTTGCTCAGACAAATGGGAACTATATGGCATTGTTTTCCTCCCAGCGACCTTACCGAATCAACAAAAAGAAGAGATATGAAGGGCATAAGGTATTTTCTTTCACCAGAATGATATTATCCAAGTCCAGAAGTGAGACAGAGAGCAAAGTATCTGCATTTTAATATGTCTGCTAATAGGGCTTGTTGATAAATCAGTGATTGGTAATAATTGCCTTCCTTTGCTTTCCTATGAGCAATTTTGAATTATATACACTCTGAAGAAAACAGTTATTAAAAGGCTTTCTGGGTACTTAGTAGCCTGATTAAATAAGTTTATGGTATGGATGTGCCTTAATAGAAACCTAGACAAGTCCTTAGTGCGTATTTATTTAAATATGCATTTTTTTGTATTACATTCATTCTTCAGTGAACCACCGTTGACTTCCCTGATCAGAATCAGGAGTTACACCATTATTGATTTTTCTTTTAACAGGTGGAAGGATTTGCAGTGGGCTGTGAATTTTCTCCGGATGGAACACTTTTGGTGACAGGAAGTTCAGATGGCAAAGTGTTTTTCTACAACTACCATACTTCTAGGATTGTTCGTACTTTGTCGGCACATAGAGAAGCTTGTGTGAGTGCAGTATTTCACCCAGTATTGCCATCACTCCTTGCGACTTCTGATTGGGCTGGAGAAATCATGATCTGGCAATAACAAGCAAAATAACTTTTCATCCATCAAAGAGCTTGGTATTTCAGAGGGAATAAACCATGATATGCAATGTGATATTTGTTGTGATGTGTTGCAGGCAGCAGAGACTGTTATCTTTTCTTCTTGGACCACTAGACATATGCTTTCATAATGCAGTTAAGAGGATTCTGTGATTAGCTGCTGAGCAAATAAGTGTTCTCTCTCTCTCTCTCTCTCTCTCTCTCCCTCTCTCTTTTTCTCATTGAGCCCTGGTGACGAATTTCTGCCCTTTCTGTGCCAATATTCTGGTATTTATCTAGTCCAACCCTGGTGTGAGAATTTAGACTTGAAGAGAATTATTGCCCTTCTTATGTAGCTTTTATTTTAGCTTTCTTAAACCAGACTGTCACTGGCTTAGCTCCTTGCCCTGGTCACTCGTGCTGGTCAAGCAGTGCTATATTTCCTTGTTGATATACAGTTCAAGGCAAAACAGCATCTTACATGCAAGAGAGGGAAGATCACAAGACAGATGGGACTGACTTTTCTGGAAACAGGCAGTTATTACCAGCCCGACTTCCTGTAAAATGCTCTCTCAGTTTTAAGGGAAAAACTTGGAGCTAATTATGAAGTCTCTAAGTCTGTGCTCCTGGGATTCCTATGTTTAAGACTGAGTTTTGAACTGAATTTTTATAACTGTATGTTATTGAAACAAAACTATATGTAAGTATAAAACTTTTTTTAATACAAGGTGTCTGTACTTCATTGTTTTACTCCTGTTAATGTTCACAAATCTGTACTCAGAATTGCCATGAAATTGATTCTGTGTGTGGGGAGTGGGATAATTAATATGCCACCTAGATTTATTGCAAATGCAATGCATTTCTCCATACCTCTTAATGTCCTTTACAGGTAGAAAATTGTCTCTGTGCCATTCTGTGAAGGGGATGTTCTTTGACATTCAGATTGTAGCTGGGCCATTTTGAGGCAAATAGAGAATCTTTTCAGCCATAATACTGTATACTTGCATTTTTCATATGTAGCATCTTAAATTCTTCTAATTTGTTTTCATTGGCATGAATGGAAGGTGAGGTTTTTATTTTATATACCATTTTTAAATGCGCTGTGGAAATGGATTTTTCAGGAACAAAAATCGGAACACTCTTGAAAATGGCAGATTCTTATTAAGAAATAAGAAAAATGTACTCCATTGGTTTTGTAGTCTGTGCTCCTTTAACTTCTGGTAAGTGATAAGCCTATACTGAAACCATGGTTCCAATTATCCTTGAATTTTTATATAGTTTGAAATCTGGATCAAAATATTGTGACTGTGTAGTTTTAATCTTCTTAGCAACAGCTTTGATAGGTTTTAACACAGGGCATTACAGTTTAGTGATCCATATGAGGTAGTGCAAATAACTACTTATTTTTCTCAATTTCTTGCTTCCACGTTTGGCAATTCGATTTTTGACATAAGGCTGGATTTTGCATTTCTCCTGACTGTATCTCAAGCACACAAGCCAGCTGGACCTTTCAACAAATAGCCTGCTCTGTGATTTGAGGGGTTACTCGTAATTAAACCTGTGGTGCTGGTGTTTATGTGATTCTAATAGAGCATATTCCTGAATATCAGAAAGAGGTCAGGTGAAAACAAAGCAGTTGCCTGTATTTGGGCTGGCTGAATCACAGCTGTGTGGCATTGCCTAAGAGAGTGGCACTGTTTCTTTTCCTCCAGGTATTTTAGTTCTAAAGGTGCTCCTACCGCTTTAGAACTTGGGGGTGCCTGATGTGTCAGTACAAAGGATGAGCAGCACTGCAGTAGTGCAATACATCCTATTAATCCCTACAAGAGCTTATCTTGGGCTGTTACATGTTTAAATACAGCGTGGAGATATGCTTCTGAAATAAATGTGAACTCATGGTGCCTACTTGAGGAATGCTATATATCTGAAAGAGCTCTCAGTGCCTTCAGCTGAGACCACCTGTGAATGGAGTGGAAGATCTTGAGACAGCAGTCTTGGGGGATCATTGACATACTGCACAGAAAAGTAATTTACTCTTGTAATTCTACCCACGTTGTTGCCTGAGTTTAACTTATGTCCTGAGGCATGATTCTGGTGTCTGGCATTTATTCTTTCTGAAACAATCTTGCAAGTATAATTTTTAAACCATTTATTAGGGAAAGAGGAAAAAAAAAGAAAAAAGACAAATTTTGATTAAAGACAGTGGAGGAAAATAAAATAAATTTATACTGTATAGTATTAGAGAATATTAAATTTGGAATTGCATTTGTGTTTTATTTCGAAGATGGCTGGAGTTTTAATTACTTGCGAGATTCAGCCAGCATTTTTACAAAGGAATGAAATTATGTTCACAGCATTATCTTGTTAAAATCTCTTTCTAATATAAAACTGATTAAGACAGAGAGTGAAATTTAATCATTTGAAATATTATAGCATAGTGGTGTCAATTAAGTTTTCATTATGATTCAAAGACAAATTCTTCCTTGTAATCTTATGTAATGAACTGTAATCAAAAAATATCCACATTTCTCCATCATTCTGCAATTACCAAATACTGTTTGGGCTGCAAACAAGGATCATTATGGTCAGATGAAGCTTTTAGAATGTAATGAATTGTTGGTTAATTAATTTTATTCATAAAATTGTAATCTAGAAATGTTTGAATCTTGTTTTAGGAGCAATTTTTCTAGCTTTGTAAGGAGCTTTCTAGGGTGTTGTGTGTTAGAGCCAAGCTAGAGATCTTCACCATTTTGAAAATGGTCTTAGGCTTTGCAGAAAAACAGGCTGAGTTCATTTTAATCTATTTTGTACTGTACCAAAAAGCAACAATACCAGTCTATAACATGTTATTATTTGCTACTGAAGCATTATTAATTTGGGGTATTAGATGATGCAAGCTATTCAACTGCATCTTTATCTCAAAAACCTGCTAATTAGCAGACAGCTATTAGAATTATTGTGTTCACCCAGATGAAATACTGTTGGTGAGTCACGATATACCTCAACTAATGGCTTAATGAGGAAGTTAAGGTATGGCATGACAATGAGATGAGTCTTTCTGTACATTTGGGCTCTTTCTGACAAATTTAAAGTAATAAGACTAAATTAAGAGCTGTAATACTATGTCAGAACAGAGAAAAATAAGGTTAAAAAAAATAAAGTGGGATCTCAAATTTTCCACAATTCTGATGTATGTGCTTTTGAATTGCAGTCAACTGAAAGTATTTGTCATGCGTTGGCTAGTCTTCATTTTGAGCAACCCTAGCTCCTCCAGGCACTTCCTTTCATTGTTGCCATTTAATTCTCAGCTTTTCTTCCTTTTTTTTAAGCACCTTATTTTGAATAAGTATACAGTAGCCTATATTCTTATACTCTGCTCATCTTCAAAAAAACCTCATTTTGCGGTGCTTTCATTCCTGCTATCCTTAGAAGGGTGGCCAGAAATCAGAGAAGACTCTACTCAATTCATGCCTTTGTCTGTTTTCCAGTTCTCAGAAAATCACAGAATCACAGAATGACTTTGGCTGGGAAGAACATAGAAGTGCACTCAGTTCCAACCCTTGACATGGGATGATTGCTGCTCACCAGATCAGAGCCCATGGCCCCATCCAATCTGGCCTTGAGCACTTCCAGGGGTGGGGCCAATTCTTCAAGTCATTCTTCCTGTTGTTAAGTAGGGGTTATAGCTTTGCTTTCCTCAGGCTCAAATATGCAGGAAAACTGTGCCTTCATTTCATTATCCACTTCTTGCAGTGTGCCGCCCTCCTTGATAGCATAGCCCAACTAAAATGGATGCTAGCACATTCCTCAGGAAGTTTTCAAGGACAGTAGTGGCAGAAATTGGATCAACTCTTAAGACCCATCCATCCTTTGTATTCATTTTTCTCATCTGCTGTAGCTTTCACTCTTTTGTTCACACACATCTCCAAGTCTAGAGGGCTTTTCTTTTGCCAGTTGTTCATATTGCTTATACCCAGAGTCTAGAAAACAGCCACATTAGTAAGTGGAAGAAATTAATCCTTTTGCTTTTGCCCTTCACAAAGCAGAGTTTGCCTCCAGGTGAGGGTCCTCCATGCATTTGCAACACTATTTGCTTTTATAATGACTAGCATTCACACGAGCAGCCTGCTGCTTTCCACTCCTTGCTCCCTAGCACCGCCCAGTGCTTTAATAAGATTTCTTCTGCAGATTCTCCCCCCTCTTGCCCTCTCTTCTATCTCTTTCTCTTTCAATCTCCGATTGCTATTTTATGCTCTTGCAGATTTTTTTTCTATTACAGTTTTACCTACAAGGTGTGTCATCTTAGTTTTTTACAAGTGCGCTTTTTGGAAAAAGAAAAACAGAAAGATATACCCCCATCATTGCCACTTGTACTGCTTTGGCTCATAGAGTGCTCAAACTGTGCTTCTTTTGAATGAAACTGAGAGAATGGGTTCCAAGAGCATATTTAATAACTCTCAACTGCTGGGGTGAGACTAGAAGTAGTTCCAGCTATCCCCCACAAATCCCAAGAAGCGTGTAGCTGAGATGCTGCGTTTTCAGAAGTTATGAGGCACTTATTTCTGTTGGGCCATAGCACTTTCTAATATAAATACTTTAGATAGTAGTTCCAGAATCTTTTGAAACAAAACCCAACCATAATTTGAGAAATGTTTGCTCTCCAGTGGTAGTACATCTTTAAGGTAAAACCAGGTGACCATGACTCAAAACTGATGGGTTCTGCAACAAGTGTGAGTGATTCTGATTTAGGACAGAGTGCCATAGTCGAGTCCATACTGGGAATAATATGTTTGTAGATGAGAATATTGCTCCCTTCACTGGCTTTAGATAGAAGTTCAAAGGCATTGGGCGTCTTTTCCTTCCCCTGCCAGTCCCTGGATGTCCTTCTCCACAGGCTTACTTAGAGGTCTGCCAGATAATGTGTTCATTTTTATGTTTTACAAATTATAAAGCTTCACCCAAATATACTCATTGCTGTATTTTCTCATTTTTTGTGTAATTGCCTCTTAAAATCAATCTAAAAATTCTTGAAGTAGTTCTTTGGAGAAGGTTGATGTTCACCGTGGTTGAAGATGCCTGAAGTGACAGTCCAGACAGCTTCAGGTTAGATATATTTGTCTCCAGTTCTCATCAGGCTGTAAAGCTCAGGTAATGCTTCTACTTCTGAGTAGGATTTCTACCAGTGAATTGTTTGAAGTCTGTCCTTAGAAAAGTAATTTGTGTAATGTGTGTGTAATCATACTGTCCCTGGTGCAGACCTTGTTGCATCAAAAAGTCAATTTTTGTGTGTTCAGGTTGCTACTACTCTTCTGAAAACAAGCAGTGAAAAATCGCTTTGCAATATCATTTGGATTTATTTTCACCTATGAACTATGTTGTTTTTCACGTTTCACTGCATAACCACCTCCTTTGTTACCTTTCTCTTTTGTGATATAAGTAAATTGCAGAGCCAGTCTACTTCAAAGGGCATGAGGAATGATCCAAGTTGGATATCAGGTAAAAAATTTCATGCCTTATATCAGAAATGGGTTATTTTGATTCTTTCTCTTTCCTTGGTTTGTTAATCTTTCCTGTTCACAAAGATAATTTCTTAGAAGTAAAGATAAAAGATCTGGTAGTCCCATCCAGCTAATTTGCAATTTGGATGGTTAAGTTGCTAATCTTTGCTATTTGTTTCAATGTATGCAATTACTTGAAAGGCAGTAACCATTTCAAAGCATGTACTGCTGTGAGTACAAAAAATGAAGGTACTCTTTATGTCATAAATATGAAGCGTGCAGTCTGTGAACTTCAGGTATGACAGAGATTAATTTTTTTTCTTGCTACAGCCTCAAATCTGTAATATATTTTGATAAGGTTTGAATCTGGGGAAAAAAAACTGAAGAGAAAGTCTAATCTTAATCATATTCCATACCCCTGAACTCATCCACAGATATTTACTTTAAAAAAAAAGAAAAAAGAAAAAAAAAAATCCTTTTAATTTCCTGATTTAACAGAATTGTATGAGAGAATTTTTAGGTGTTTTTTTTTTTCTTTTTTCTTTTTTTTTTTCCCGGAATATAAATACCAGTGAGGGAAAAAGAGACAGGGTTCCTATTGCAGTATGAAAGGAAAGGCCATCTATGTGCCGATCACTAGTACTGATCTCAAGCTCTGTTCACTTTTGATTCTTTCTCCCTTTTGGACA